ATGTCGGGCATCGACTCGATAATGCTTTGGAGAAGATCGAACACTAGAGCCGCAACCGCCTCGTGTTGGTGGAGGCGTTGCAAGATTGACCAGAAATCGGGGGAGATTGTGATCTCATTTCGTAGGAGACCGGTGTGGCTAATGCATCTAGCAAGGCCCTTCACTGTTGGAGTCGCAACAGTTTCGAGAATATCCTGATCGAATCCAGAGATGGCATGAAGCACGACAGGTACCCGCATGAAGTGTTGGTCCTGGGAAAGGGTCAGTGAGAAAAGAAACCAAGGCAACAGCGTACTGGACAGTACATACATGGCTCAGTCGCAGAAGATTGAGAAGATAAGAAACGACGCGGGACACGGTTAGTGGATGAAGATTCTTTGCATCGCGCACCAGTGTTTGAAGAGTCGTTGCCAGATTTTCACCTAGAACCTCTAGTGTCTTGTCATCACGAAGAGCGAGCACAGTGGCTAACTCCAAGACAAATATCATCGAGGGGTCATATTTTGGCGAGTTAGGATCCACTCTATTGCTTGAAGTTCTTGATGTAGGTGACGGGCGTTCAGGTTTAACGACAATTACTGCCGGTGCGTTCTCCTCGGGGAGCTGAGACAGCAAAGCTTCCATGAGCATCTCCAGTGAAGATAGAGGGAGAGATTTGAGATTTGATAAAATTTCGGGTATCGAGCATGCCGTCACACAATCCACTGTGCAGAGCGTGTTATCAAGTTCCTCATCTGAAGGTTCAGGAGGATCATCTGCCGCATAGCTTGAAAGATAAGACGTGAATGCCGACAAAATTCCCGAATCGTTGTTGCGCCCATCGCGATCAACCACTTGTGATGGGGGCTGCAGGGGGATTGGAGAAATATCAAGCTCGGATGTGAGTTCGGCATCGAATGGCGGGGTGAGTGAGTTGATGAACAAGTTACTCAAGATGCGAACAATATGCTCCCAACCTTGTTTGACAGTGGCTTCATTGCCCGATAGGACTCGGAAAAGTACCACTGTTGCCAATTGAGCTCTGAAATCCCTGCCGAACTTAACGGCAAGCTCGCTCACCATCACGCTCTTTTGGCCTACCTGGACCTCCGTGTTGAGGGCTGTGCTTGGAGGTTTAGCAGTGGCCAGAGTGCTAATCGACGCAAGTGAGAAGACGATGCGGTCGAATGCCTCAGTTAAATCATATCGAGCGGCGATCTGGGCACACTGGTCGAAGCCATTGACAACGCGAGAATACACTGCATCATCCGATGCAGACATGAAAACATATGAAAGAGTTGCAATCACTGGTTTCCACGTAGCTTGGAACATTTCGGCGTCATACACGTTGGTTTCGCCAGTTACAATCTCACCGGTGGATGAAGATTTCAGCAACAGCTCCTTCCAAGCATAATCAAACGCATGCTTGTTCTCGTGCTCGTCGGGAAGAATGATCTCGTTATTCTTTATGGAATCGTAGATCTCCTGGAGGAATTCCTCTGCGAAATCCCCACCTCCATTCACACCCCGCAAGTTCCTGGCGAAACCGGTGCAGGTCATGCGGTTTTGTGACTTGACATTAGGGTTGTAGAGTTCTGTGTTCAGCATGATAATGGCGTAAGTCAAGATATAAAGTGCATCTTTGTCGGCAATACCGGCGGGTTTCACTTTTTCCATGTAGTGCTCTGCAAAAGTCGTGACGATTCGCTCGATAAGTGGCGACTCGCCGGGAAGACGGAATGAACTGAGGAGCTCTCGAAGTGCCTCCACCGCATTGCGTCCCGAAAAGTCAAGGAGATCCACGAAGGCACCCAAGAGTTCCTCGTTATCACGTTTAGAGATGTACTCTCCGAGAACCTTCTTCGACAACCGTGAGGTTCCCTTCAAGAAGCGGGCCACCAACACTGGGTTCTTGGGGTCCTCGATAACGCCATGACTCGCAAGGAAGGCAATTCCCTTTTTGGGCTCCTCATTAAAGATTTGTGCGCCCTTGATGATGATCTTCTTTGTCTGGCGTTGATCTTTCAAGCGCTCTTGCGGAGGATAGTCTCCTTGGACTGGTTCGTCATCCAATCGGTCGTAAATGAACTGTACATAGCCTAAGAGAGCATCCAGGCACAGCGGGGGTACATTTGTCGTGCTCCAAGTTGCAGAGTCTGGGAAAGCATTGCGAGAAAGTAATCCAATCATGTCCTCACACAAATCGGCTCGGTCCACTTCGCAGTCGTAGTTGACGAAAAGCTCAACCATGAAGCTAGGTATCCGGGACAAAACACCAATGCTTTCTACCATGGCTTCTCGGGCTTCAGGCCTCCTTGAACCACCTTCAAGTCCTAGCTTTTGTCGGTCCTTGACGGGAACAGGCGTAGATCTGCCGCTGTTCGCCTGTGAGGCCGGTTGTTTGACGAGCTTTGGTGATTGCGGAATGCCTTCATATAGCGAGGGATCAATCCCAGGTTCACGAGGGATTTCCACTCGAGGGTGAAGGCATGCCACAAGGTATGAAATATAAAGTTCTTGCTGCAGTTTCAATACGGGTCTGCAAGTAGACAGCAAGGTACCGGCAACTCGCAGGGAGCTCGTAAGTATGGCTATCTGTTCAGACCTGACCAATTGGAAGAGGTATCGACAGAGATCATCCTTGGCTAGAACGGCCAGACTAGGGTGCCGAGCAATTGATGGCCCTGCTACTTCCAGAGCGACATCGATGATTCGAAGTGCCATCACTCTCATGGCATCAGTATGTTGCCGGTTGTGGGGATCCAACAGATCGATCAGGACACGGAACAATTCTCTTATCGATGGCAAGGAATATGGTTGGACATCGGCTTCGGGGTCGTCATGCGGGCTGGGTGGTGCAGCCGCTGCACTGCTATGATTTCCCTGCTCGGGCGATCCTTCACGGCTTGTGCTGTGCCTTTCGGCTGCCGCTGTGTCTGCACTTATAGCCGATAGGTGCTGGGATGTCACAGTGTCCCCATTGACCGATGGGTCCATTTTAAGGCGAGATAGCGGGTCCTTTTTTGTGTCTTCGCCCGCAAATGGGTCCGGTCCTGCGGGCATGCCTTGATCAAGATGCGACAGCCGCCCGAAAATCACTTGGCACATTTTCACCATTGCCATTTCGGCAGACCTCCGGAGCACCTCTGACAGACGACCTTGGCAGCACATGCTCAGTCCTGTCTCCATCATCTCGCAGACACTCTCGTCGCCCAACAGCTCGCCTTCGGGTCGGGAAAGCACGCCCTCCATCAACTTGAGAATCCGCAACAAGACAATCTCGTCCGCCGAAGAGTCGCTCGCTTCGAATCGACAGTGTGTAATCGCCGCTGACAGTAGTTGCATCGCCATTGAGAGTCGTGGGGAGTTTGGATTGATAATGTTGTATGAGAAGAACTTGGTAATAGCGACCAAGGCGAGGGAGGTAATTGCGGCGGAGGTCGATGAGGATCGGACAACCTGTAAGAATGGATGAAGGAGGGCTGGGGTATCAAACGTTCGAATGTCTTTGCATCCTTTGAGATCGCTCCGCAGTCGTGTAAAGGCCGATATTAACGGGTTATCCTGCATGCTCTTCCCTTTCTTGCCTCGAAGGCCCCACCGATTGGCCAGAGCATGATCGTCATCGCGAGAAGTCGATTGGGTGTTTTTGCGAGGGCTCGGAGGAGCAGAGGTCTCCGGCTCGTAAACACGAGAGGCTCCATTGCCGCCCAAGATGGCGGAGACCGAAGAGTGAGCCCAGCGGGCATGCTTGCGCATGGACGAGGTGACGGTAATACATTCAGTGGTCACCAAAGCCACCGGATCGATGGCAATGGGAAGGTTCGAATCCATGGTGGAATCGAGCATCACAAGAGATGCTGGTGGCACCATGTTGGAGGTCGGAACAAAACAGCTGGTCTCTCATCATACTGCTGCTTGCCTGTTCGAGGTTAGCGTCTCCCCCGCCTGCTCACCGCCTACGCCAGGGGCTGTAACGATTGAGTTACAGTACATACGATAATGTTTGTATTAAACACCTTTCATTGGTTTATAGTAGCCACACTGGAGTAACATGGTATTCTCCGGTATTGGACTGCATCCATGGGTGGGATTCTACCTTGTTGACACGACACTACATCTACATACTCCATAGTACGTATAACGTTAACTTCAATATCGGGATGTGATAGCAAACATGAAACTATGAAAGATATGCATGTTCCTAACTGTATAAGATCAGGGATTCTGCTTATTGTTTTACGTCTGGGTCAGTATATTTTCCAAATAAATAAAGATCAATTCCACATCGGATATTATGTTTCAAATGACTCATGACTCTAGCCATCCTGTCCAAGGTATAATCGCATTGTTATAATATGACCTAGAACATCCTCTCTCTATGAAACGTGCAAAAATTAAGCTCGTGTAGCCATCTGAAACGAAAGAAGCAAACAAATGACAAAACCCATGTGCTCCAGATGTGACTTGTCACACTCCTTGCAGCGGTTGGGGATAGCAACATAGACTGTACAAGCGTTGGCCGGACAGTAACAGAAACAATAAAAACACCATGAAGCCCACAGAGAATCCCGAGTATCTCAGCTCCACCATTCTCTTAGCAGGGCGCTAATACCCGCAATCGGGCTATCGTGATATCAACCCACCGCTTCTCTCCCCGCCAAAACAAACTCCCCTCAATCTCACTCACTCACCCTCTCTGTTTGGCCTTTCTTTCCACCTTTCTTTTTTATAACCTGCCTGATCCCATGAATTGATTGGTGACTTCCTATCCCTCGGCTTCCATGGAGGGGAGCGCGATCGCGATCGCATCAACCATAGGATAATCCTATATCGCGAACTGTCATTCCCTCATCCCGAAAACAAATCCTCTCATTGAAAACACCTTGCGCCGCTGCGCTTCCTTTCTCTCTTTACATCGCGCCTGCTACGCCCGTCGGCGCATTCTATTTGTTTATCGCGCATAGCGCCTTCCTGGCCAGCGTATTGCACTTGCACGTTTACACGTGAATATTTTCACCATGGCGACTATTGCACCTCCCCCGAGTCCTACGCTATCGGAACTGCCTCTCGAACAACTTAGCCTTTACTATGTCATCGACTCGTGTTTATCATCCATCCTCGTGTTCTACGGCGCTGTCTCCACCGCCAATGCGACTGTCAGCAGCTCGCGCATTCAAGCCCATATCTTCACAACAGCCGGCTTTCAAAGTTATCCTCGAATAACGGTATCTCCCGCTGCTCCCGTGTATGCGGCGGTCAACCACCTACCCCGCGACAAACAAGGTGACGAGGTCTGTCGCGGACTGGCAGTGAGCATGTTGAGATACTTTGCCGAGCTGTCTGAGCCAGTCAAGCAACGTTTGACCGGGGTGGCTCGTGCAGGTCGGCCCGGAAAGCCCCCAAAGATGTTTGATGAAATGCACGCGGCAGATTTGGCCAACCGGATGGCCAAAGTGGATGATCCAACGGAGATCATTCGAGATATTCGGAGCGCATATCAAGAACGCAAAGTTCCATGGATTGATATCGATGTTGTACTCCCTGCGGACACTATACAACCATCCAAGCGACGCGAGAGCGCGGGATCTGACATGGAAGCTAGCCAAGACCCCCAGTTTGGACCATACACACCACTCATCGAGGCGCTGGGGGATCCTATGTTCTTGCCAACATCTCGACTGAAGCGGGCGCCTTCTCAACCGACCAATGTCAGCAAATCGCGGACTTTTGCGAGAAGCCAGAAAGAGGCTCTCCGTTTAACAATGTGTGAGCTTGTTGATACCGAGGAGCGATACGTTGCGAAGCTGTATTCCCTTGTCCATGAGGTTGCGGACGAATTCCGCCAAAAGGCCCATGAGAGGCGGCCATCAAGCACTAGCCCCTCCGAGGAAGCTTTGGCAGCATTGTTCCCACCGTGTTTGAATGACATTCTGAGTATCAACCTTGGCTTTCTTGATGTCATTCGACAGGTCCTGGATGAAACAGAGAAAGATGCCATTACAGATATTGGCCATGACACGGAGCTTCCTTCTACGCGAGGACGCTCAAGGGACACCAAAGATGCGCTCGGAGCCGTGGCATTTGCCAAGGCCCTCCTCGAATGGCTTCCTCGATTTTCAGAGCCATACAAAGATTACATGCGCGCGCACACCGGGTTTACCCAGACTTTGAATTCGTTCATGAAGGATAGGGATTCCAGCTTTTCGAGAAGAGTATACGAAACCGGAGAGCAGAGATTACGATCTTTGCTGATGGAGCCCGTTCAACGACTTCCTCGATACAGTCTTCTAATCGACACCATGACAGGCAGTCTGCCCTTGGTTCATCCGGCTGTGCGAACTCTGTTGAAAGCGCGAGACATTGTGAAGGACATTTGTGCATTGGATAACGATTCCCCATCCAGCCATGCACAAGGCCTAGAACGATTGAGAGAGCTTGTTACTGGATGGCCTGTCAAAACTTTCCCCGAAGGTCGCTTGATCACTGCTGTCGATTTCAACGAGATTACCCCTCCATACAACCTGGATACCCAGTCATCTGGCCCTAATGCAGGGATTTTGCTTCTCTACAAAAATTGTCTAGTTCTTCTGGCAAAGCCTGCTGAAAGCAAATCTACCGCCCGTGCGTTGTTGGCTGATATTGACAATGCAGCCTCGCCTACCGCTGATATGTCCATGTCTTTACCTCAATCGGAACTCCAAGTTGCAAAAGTATTGGAATTCCACAAGGTTCGATGTATGCAATCCACCTGTGGCCGAATGCTGTTTGTTTTGCCAATCGCAAGCAACACCATACCAGCCGACATAAACACACCATCGGACTTGCTTGCATTGGAGTTAACAGCCATGTACGAAGGAAGAGCCAATCGCTTGATAGAGGAAATTTCAAAGGCGAAGATTGAAGGCCGATTCCCAGAAAGCGAACGAGAAGGAGGAAAGTGGTCCCTACGGAGCCCTACTGGTTTGGCCAGTAATGTCGGTATTTTGGCCTGCGTGTGTGAGTATGGCCAAAGTCCTACGTTGAGCCAGGATTACTCGTCCCAAATCCGAGTTGTATTCGATACCTCCAAGGCTGCCTGTGGACAAATCTTGAAAAGCACTAATCTGGAGGTTGTCATATCGATATCTCCTCCGAATGGAGACCAGTATAGATTGGACATCGAGACTGTGGTTGGCTCTGGATCTACCGATCTGATCACAGTGGACACCTTTGTCCCCACTCTCTCACGACGCCTTCAATATCTTTTGTCGCCTTTACACAGCCCTCGAAACCCCATATTGACGGAGCCACTGGTCCATTCCAATTTTGAAACTCTTCGGTATATCGCCAGTAGCTTGATCACACAAGTCAAGTCTTCGCGAGGGTTCCGACCACCTTCGCCAACCAAACTGATTTCCAACCTTTTGGGGGTAGTCGTGACAATGTCCCAACACTAAAAGGACCCAGTTCAGCAACTTTGACTGGCGAATTTCCGAAAATGCCTCCACCAAGAGGCACTTTGTCACGATCAAACACGTTGCCTTCGTCATTTCCCGGAAAAGAAAAAGAAAAAGAAAAAGAGAAGGACAGAGACAAGGAAAAAGAGGAAAGTACTAGTAAAATCTCGGTTGTTGGCGCTTCCGATTCTCGGGGATTGGATGCCCAGTTCAGCTTGCTGGAACAAACTTTTGCAGCTTATATCCTCTCTCTGCAGTCTCGAAGTGGAAACATCCTGGGCCGAATGCTTCGTGCCAGAGATAATGCCGACCGGGCACCGGTCAATGAGCTCTACAACATTTTGCTCGAAGACCCAAGCAAGATCCAGGCTGCCGCCGAAGTGCCTGTTGATACGTTGTTTGTTGCATTTGAAACCTTCTTGGCGAACGCATGGAAAAGAAGCATGGGTCCCGTTCTGAGCTCTTCTTCTTTGAAATGGGTCCAGAGCCAGTTTGACACCATGATCCCCCGCGACTTTGACGAGCAATTCCGCAGATTCCTTTCGGAAATGAGTCCGCAGAACAGACGAGCGCTAGCTGCAATCATTCGGCTGCTTGCTGAGCTGCTCGATGCATCAGGGAATGATGGGGATCGTGGTGCCCTGACCATGGCGTTTGCTGAGGTAATAACGGAAGACGGAGATCCTATCCATCACGTTTCTCTTTTGGATCGACTGGTCGATGACTTTGACAACCTCTTCGAAGACTTCATCCCCGGTGGCACTTCAGTGGAAGGAACCCTAACTGTCAATCAATCGAAGACCTCACATGGCAATGCCGGATCTGTTGGCTCTAATTCTTCTTCTTTCCGCAAACGATTCGGCTTTTTGCACAAGGACACTTCAAAGAGCGAGAAGAGTGAAAAAGGTGAAGGAGAAAGCAAGGTTGCTTCAATTCTACGGACATTAAGCAAGAAACAAAGCCCAGCTGGCTCAGAGCCCAACACTCCGAAAGGCTCCCTGATACGATCCAAGTCGACCGATGTGGACGCCCGGCTGGGATTCCTTCGCCCTACATCCCGCGATCGCCCCTACGGCTTTGCATCTGAAGAAACTATCTCAAGACCAGGCACTGGCTACGAAATGCCTCCATCTTTGTCCTCTGTCCGAGGAATATCTGATGATGGTGTGCCCAGAGTTCGTAGGAAGCGCAGGAGCTCACTGTCGGACCTAAGACCAAATACGGCATCCTCAGATTCATCCAACATCTCTCCCACTCAGCAACTTCGTCCGGTAACACCCTCTAGCCGCCCACGAGGAGAGGTTATTACACCTACTAGACAGCCCAGGCCTCAGAGCAGCTATATTCCAGCATCGCCTGCACGTGGCAAGTCACCGGCGAAATCGGGTTCACCAGTACGATTAGGATCACCCATTCGCAGAATGTCTCCCAATCGACCTTCTACACCGAGCCGGAAGGAGAACATTGATCCTAAGACACCCTACACGGAGAGAACATCCAAATCCCGAGGTAGTGTTTCACAATCGCCTGCCGACGAAAATAGACGATCTCGTGCGTCTGGTATTCCTCAACGGGCGCCAGGCCTTCGAGAGCGCCCGACAACCAACGGCTCCGATAGCAGACGGCCACAGCCATCGTCTTCTTCGCAGAAGCCGAAAATACGGATGCAGAGTCCACAAAAGGTTTGCCAAGGCGTTCGCTATCTGATGAGATCATTTGACTAACATTGATATAGCTACGCGATCGTGTGCAGCAGGAAAAGAAGGACCAATCAGCTACTCAATCAGGCTTCAAAGATGAGCTCACGGCACTTGGTGACGAATTACGATCTTTCACGTTTGCGTCAACGAAACCGCTCGGTTTAGACTTCAGTATGGACCGCACAAACAGCTGTCCATCTTCTGATAACAATGCAGCTCTTGAAGCTCGCATGCGCACCCTCGAGGCCCGGTTCGATATGCTTAGTGGAGAATACAATGGCCGCACAACTGCTCTTGAAAAAGATTTGGAGTCGTCTTTGATTCTCAGCGAGCGACGCGTGAAGAAACTCGACGAGCTTTATCGCGAAGCGAGCGCCGAAAACGAGGCGCTTTATGATCGCTTCAATACAGAACTCAGCAAGATTGCCAAGGAAGTTCGATCAGGAAACGGAGAGGACTCCTTGAAATCCCAGCTGGCAAGTGCTCTAGACGAGATCAACCGGGTTAAGAAGGAGAACTTCCGACTGAAACGAGAAGTTGGAGGCCTTCGCGCCCAGCATGCCGCTGCTGCACTGGTCAAGGCGAGTGAACAATGACAGCATTCACGATATCGAGGGTTTCGCATTCCTTTCCCTTATTTCCTGTCTCAACACATCAACACACATCAGCACACACCAACGCTTACCAACACTTACCAACACTTGTCACATTTATTCTTTCCTTTCACCTTGTATTTTGATACTCCACAAACCTTTGAACGCACCTTCATTTGCATATCATATCCATGATCATTTCTTACTTGTATTCATTCCGAATTCTTGTCATCCCCATACTGGCCTATCCGCACAGATGGCCATTGATAATACATGCATAGCTCAGGAGATCAAGTTATTGCAGGGCTTATTTTTTTTTGTCTAACTGTCGTTGTCGTGTACACTAAGCGTCTTCAGTGTCTTCAAGGGGCCAGCCCATCAGGCGTAGCGCCTCTGTGTCAATCCTTTTGTACATCCACTGCCATTTCAATTTCCAGTGCTTTCCATAATGCACCAATTCCACCTCCTTGGGAGAATCATATTCTGCTCCATGACCCTGTAGACGGCAATCTAGAGTCGGGAATGCCAAGGGCTCAGAACTCGCCTGATCCACAGAATTCTCCCTAGATCCACTCTCTACTTTCTCCAAAAGAGGGAGAGTAAAGCGCAGTGAAGCTGGTGCTTCAGTTGCTAACAATGCTCGTGTCTGTTCCCAGAATTTCAATTTCGTCGCATCGATAACACGTTCTTTCTTCGGCCCTGTTCCCTCGGCGGCTGTACGCATCCTTTGCATATCTGCTTGTTGGAATGGGCGTAGACGGATGGAAAGACTTTGCAATTTGCTCAATGCACGCGGATCCATGGTTGGATCACTTGGCGTAAGACTAAACCGTAGCCAGTATCGATTATCCCATAAGCTCCATGGGGTGAATTCGCCCCGTGGCGGGACATAAAGACGCTTAATAGGGTCCCGACCTTTCATAAAGGGTTGGCGGGATAGCAGCCAGATATTATGACCGTTGTCGTTTGCAAGGGGCTGGAAGATAACCCCACCTAGGGTGAAGGCTTGTTTCTGGTGCGCACCATGATTGGCAGTGGTGGTTTGAGGGACTTCTGAGTCGGGGAAGACGCGGGAAACCATTGGCTCATAGCTTCGCAACGCAAAATGGTTATCGGGGAATGGAGAAATCAGTTCTGTGATGCGGCGGAGGACGAGGGTTTGGATCTGTTTAGTTTGGGATGTTGACAGGGAAGCGATTTGGGGGTCGATGGATTCGAGACTTGGGTTTAGGAATTGGATTACTGTTGATCCAGCTCCAGGATTGAAATCCAGTAACCGGCATTGAGATGATAGTAGGGAGTTGGAGAGTTCTTTTGAGACTTCGAGGAGGTTTTGGCTTGAGCGGATTAGGGAGAGGATGGATTCGGATCGAAGGGCTCGGGGTAGGGAATTAGATGATACGAGGCTGCGGATGGCGTTGCGGGGAGTAAGGGTTGGGTCGAAGTTTGTAGGATCCGACACGTAGGGGACTTGGTTTTTGCGGCATGTTTCCACGAGACTGGATTTTGGAAAGGAGAGGAGAGGACGGCAGAGAAATATACCGCCGCTTGCGATGTATGAAGTTGTAGGGCTGAGATGGGATCCATATTTGTCGTTCTCTGACTTAAGGCTCGGACCAGGGAACGTGATGACTCCTTGGCTTCGCCCGATGAAGCGGATTTTAGTTTCAGGAATGGTCTCAGGTTTCAAAGGCATCGATAGAATTGACCCGCTCTCGGAAATTCCATAAAGGCCATGGCATTCTGGGATTCGAGCCACTTCGGGGATGCCGCCAAGACCAAGTCCCCTTGCACCGGAGGAAAGTCGCCAAATGGTAGTCTCGACGTTATCATCTTGATGATGACCCAAGAGTAGTGTTCCAATGCGGAATCTCTGACAGGCCGAGCCAAGGGCCTGGAAACGGAGTCGTCGGGCGTGAGTTTCAAAGGCTGACGGCATAGGAATAGATGCGTCTGGTTTAGAGGATTTCTGGCTCTTGGCAGTAGTGTACTTGGACCAATCCAGGCTTAAGATATAGGTTTTAATATCTGTGAGAAATTGATTAGATGTTGCTGCGCAAAGAAAGGTATAGGACTGTACCCATATCACGAAGCCAACCAGCAACCTTTTGGGCTTCATCAGTGCTTTCTGGGCGAGCGCGATGATCGACAACAAATGCAGTCACAGAAATGGCCCCAGCTACCTCAGGCGAGCGTTCCAGCTGCTTACACAGGTACGCCAAAGCCATTGAGTCGGCGCCGCCGCTGACAGCGATTCCTGCCAATTCGCATCAGAAATGATCAGATAAGTATAAAAATTGGAACTTAAGCGCTCACCAATCCTTCGTGGAAGCGAAAGAACATCTTTGTCATCGACGGCTCCTTTCTTATAGTCGACATTGCCAGGCTTGATGCGGGCCCGTCGCGACCCGGACCATGCTTGTTGGAAGCACCGCTGGAACAGAAACGGCGAAATCGATATGTTGCCTGGGGCCATATCTGCTCTCTCCCCGGGTAGAGCTTAATTTAACACCAATTTCACGTCCATCATCGATTTGTAGATCGTGTGTCGCACAGGAGAATGATATCGTCGGCCCGGCAAATTGGTTTTCCCGACAGAACGTGACCGGCCTTCGCGCAGAAAGAGTACCTGAGATGATCGCTGTATAATCACTTTAACTATCGATATATACTTGTATCTATAGATACAATATTACTCAATATCGCAGGTTATCAGTTGAATGTAAAAAAGAGATGTAATAATAGAGAATTATTGTAGGTCCGTGATATATATCTACATAGCCCTTGTTCTCGGATTTTCTCAAGGCCTTGCGTGTCAATTGAGAAAAGAGAGCTGCATTATGAGACCCGGAGCGCAATGATTATGGAGTGGTGCTACGATGATCCTCGAATGGAAAATATTTTCGGTTTGCGAAGAGTAATACATCCGCTGGAAACCACTTTTATATCCCAGGACAATCAGGAAAAGCAGCCAAATAAGCGCCCTCAATCTCACGACCCATACCCCCAACACCTTCAAAAATCACAGCAGACTTCATAGACCGAACAAGGATTTCCACACCATGCCGCAATTCCTCGGTCAATCTCTCAACATCAGAAATCTCCGACGCAGGGCTGGGCTTATTGAGAAGATGATAACAAGTCGCAAGCCGATCTGTCGCCATACAGGCGCGGATCCGGTGCAGTAGCATGAGAAGAGCATAACAGCCTTGCATGGCCGAGCATGCAAAGACAGGGATTATTCTAGGATATATGACGGATCCAAATGATGAATTATGTCTGCCTGCCAGTGGAGGTTGTACTTCCCTATTTTGACTGCCAAGGGAAGTTGGAGATGAGAGAGAGCGGAATATTGAGGCTATCGCGAGTGACGACTTGAGACAAATATTTGAGGATTCTTGTTCAGTGAATGGGAACGGATTTTCGCTGTCTGTTGCCCACTTTGGTGTGCACATATTCGGCGAGAACCCGTGGCTGTTTATTGATGTGAGATCGCAGTATTTGTCTAGGAAGAGTGGGATATCCATAAAGGCTCTGAACCGATGGAGCCGTACGCGAGCACTAGGAATGTAAGTTGATGTACAACCTAGGATAGGGAGCACTACTCACGTATGGATAAATAAGCGGCTGATCATCCACATTGTTTGAGCCACAGGTGCTTCGGGTGTTTCATCGAACGTCGCCAAAAGGTGGCGGTCTGCTTCAGACATCAGAGATACGATCTTTGAGTCCAATCGCTGTATTCGGCCGCTAAAGTCGGATAAATCGGTCGTTTCATCTACACGTTCGATATTCTGCACCATTTTGTTGGCTTCGAAAAGAGCTTCTTGTGCTTTCATAATCATGGGCCATGGCTTGAAAGAGTCAGTGGGTGATAAATGGGTTACTCTGAGGGAAACAAGGGCAAATACCTGTAAGTAGACATCAAATTTAGGATAAGGAGTCGTAATTCGTGGGTCGTCGGAAGAAATAATTGGGGGCTACTATCGCAGTCAGTTAAATCCAGTGATTTTGAGCGCCAAGCTGACTCCTTACCGCAAGATTGATATTTGACGATAGGTAAGTCGACCATGACTATAGAACCATTAGAAGCAGCCAACTCACTTCGAAACAATATTTAACATACCGTCATCCACCAGGCTCGTCTCTGTGCCTCGGAAAATTCAGTTACTGTGTCGTCAAGACTGTGAAGAGATATGTCCATAGCCGTTGTAATGGCCTGGTTGACCCGAGCCCGAATCCTTGAAATGTTGCCTCGCTGGATATACTCATAGACACCAAGGACAACAAGAGCCAGGATCGGTTCAAGCTGAGCAGGCAACCGAGGATGCAAAGAGCTTCGCACTTCAGACGAATCCGTGTCAGACACTGCAGTCAATCCAGGTGACAGGTCGTCGATCTCTTTCTCTACGGCAGCCAACGCTGTCTGGGCAAAGAGCTGCGCATACGACCGCCTCAGTGTGAGACTTGTATCGGTCGTCGGTAGTTGATCTTCAGCAACAGGTATTAGAACCAACATGGCGGATAAGGCTAGGGCCAGTGATGACTCTGGCCAATGTGGTATTTGGGACTTCTCTGCCTGGGAGTTTTCTCCGAAAGGCTGGATCACCGTTGGTCGATCTTCATACTGAGGCGTCACTGGGGGTGGTAGCAATGGAAGATATGAATGAAGATAGAGGTAGTAGGAATTGACACTGTGCAATCAGTCAGTCTCCAGCACTACCTTGAATGCCGTCTGTTCTTGCACGTACATGTCTCCTTCGGAATGATAAGCGCGCATCATTGGTGATTCAGTCCCAGCTTGAGTGGCTAAGTCCAGAACGCTGTCCGCATGTGGAGTAAGCTGGCCCCAAATTTGCTGAGCTCCATCTCCAACAGAGAGAGCCTCTGGTGATAGATCCAGGTTGTGGATACCGGCAAATGGCGATACCAGGCCGATCATGTTGTCCAGGAATGGTTCTGACCACAAATTAGAAAGTGATCTCGGGCTTAGAAAAAGTTAATTTACCAAATTCTTCAGCCACATCAGATATCGAAGTGCCGGATGTAGTCGATTTGCGCTGTGCCTCTTCATATCGGGCTCCTCTCCGAGGACCACCCCGGCGACTAGGCTGGTAATAGCAATCTCTTTTCTTGCCTGTGCACTAACCATGAAAGAATATCAGTGAATGGAAGATTAAACGGTCTATTTTGCCTGGACATACAACACCACAGGGTTGATGACCGTCGCAACGGGTCTTTGAAGATCGGCTGTGAGCAATGTCAGCTTGCGAGGCAACTAATAATCAGCAATGAATGTGATACTTACCATGGAAGGCAAGCAGCCTTCACAGGGGGCTTGACAACTCGAGGCATACTGATTATCTAGGATGATGTAGATGTCAAGTTAACGTCTGCGTTGTATGGAACGTCACTATGCACGTGACATGTATACCCTGGTCGATTCCAAGGGCTTTAAAGCCAGGCGGAAAGAATGACTCAAGTCTTGAATGATGGACTGATGTATAGATAAAGCCAATAAGCTGTCGCATGTATTGCATGAGTGGGCAATTCGAAAGTACGAGTTTACTGTTCGGCGTTTGGTCTGCTGACCAAACGCCGACCTCAACATATCATTGGCAGATACCCGCCTTCGGGGATTGGTCCTATAGTCCATTTTGCCTCAAATGTTCAAGGGTGTGGAATATGAGTTAGAGTGAGAAGGAAATTGAAATAGATGTTGATTTGGGGTTGTTAGGTTCTGTTGGCCAGATCTTCAATATCACACTATACGCCAGGAGTATAGTTAAATAATCACTAATATAATTTGTGGATTAATGGAAGAGACATGCTTAACCGGAACAATTTCTTTACAGCCTGGGCTCATTGACAGCACCTTTTCCCAACATTAGGCGCCTCGAAAGTATCCAATCGACAGAAGCAAGACGAAGTCACAGGAACGTCAGCAACAGCAGCCGCAATAGCCAGCTGCGGCTGAATAACACTTGCCTCATCAGTCCGACCAAGACGCACCAAACATTCATGATAGCCCTGCAAAGCCCATACATTATTCGGATGCCGTCGCGCACGAATGAGAGTACTATCAAGACCCAGATCCGCACGGTAGACAACTGCCGCATCCTCCACATGACCTTGCTCTAGTAAAAGCGCAGCATATGCATGGCGGGTTGGCTGCATCCAGCTCCAGGGCTCACTGTATCCCAACCCATCATCCAACTCAATTGAACGGCGCAGAGCTTCGAATGCTTCCTTGTAGTTTCCGCGGCGATACTCGATCTCCCCATCTAACATTTCTGATGCCACCCCAAGGATATCGACGCATTTGTTGGGCCAGTCCAAGCGGGTGTCTGGAACTCGCTGCCGCGCTGCTCGGTATAGTTCACGTTGGTGCTCTGCCTCCGCAATCTTTCCGGTAGCCGCGTATGCTACACCCTTGGCATAGTGTGTGATGGCTATCGTCATGCAATATATTTCCGGGTCTGTGGGGATTTGCATCTGGATTATTTCATCCCACATGCCGAATCGAATCATGACATGAGCGCGTACAGACATGAAAACCTCGATGTAGTCTGACATGGCGGATAGCAATTTATAGGGTAGGGTCGCTTCCATGCGGTCCACAGCGTCAAAGGCAGCCTGCTTCTGACCGGCAAACATGGCTGCGTAAATAAGTGAGTGATAAGTGTGTAGACGATAAACTGAGTAAAAGTTAAAAGGGCCTTCGATTTGCAGCCATTTTTCGTCGGCAATTGCGGCGCGCTGATTACCACGCACAGCACTGCGGTAGTCTCCGACCAGGACGTCCAAATGAGAGGGCATATGATGGATGTGGCCCGCATCTGGAACAAGATCGCGGAGGTGGTCAGCGGGCCTCAAGCCAAGCTCTGGGAAAGGCGACATTTCAACAAGATGGATGTACATGTGTAGAAGTCCAGGGTGCTTTAAGGAATCTTTCTGTTCGAGAGCCTTCTCGAGAACCCTTTTCGCCTCCATAGTCCGGGTTCCAGGGTTTGGTTTTCCAGTGACCAAATCCCACAGCTTCCAGGGGGTGAGGCTGATCATTGCATCGGCATAAAGAGTGACCACGTCCAAATCATCAGGGAAGCTTTCATATGCTTCTTGCATTTCATCAGCGTATGCGACATTCTGGGCAGCTAGCTGTTCCATATTGGCAGGCTGGTCACTCTGATAGCGAGCAGCGATTGCCTTTGCGAGAGCCTGCTCCACAGGCGATGCATTGGCGGCAAGCTGTTTTGCTTTGCATGCAGCTCGGTATGTGTTCTCAACAACGGATTTCAACTCGTTGCCGAGAAAGTCCCAAGGCTGATTGTAGTTGGGACCAAGAGAGTAGGCCAATCCCCAGTAGGCCATCATACAAGACTCATCATGCACGATGGCCTGCTTGAAACACGCGGCTGACTCTTTGTGGTTGAAGGAATATGCCCATGTCAGGCCACGATCAAACCACGTCTGGGCTTCCGGGCTGGTCGTGGTGATGGTCCTCTTGAATGACCCCAGATTGTAGGGATACTCGTCCATCATCGAAGCTTTTGTCATCCTGATCCTATAATGCGGCGAGGTGGCGAGAAGAGGATGAAGAGTGAAGTTGGCATTAAGCGGGGTTGCACACGAGGCTCTTCCGCCCGTAAATGTGCCCAACGGATTTGGGCGACCTTGAAGGGATCCGTCCCATTTTCTCTTGTGAGAAGAACAGTACTTTTGTGGCATTGTATTGGATCCCAGGCTGACCTGCGAACGCTTCCCAGGATTGTCGGTGGATCCCATAGGGCCCCTCTATACTGTCGTCACAGAGGTCGATCTGATTGTTTCTAGATCTCACAATCCTGGAAAGTCGCAGATTGTACAAACTATTTAGACAATACACCTGATTTATAATACATGGCCAGGACCCTGGGGTTCCTATTTTCCCCGCCGGTGTGGGATCATGCCACCCGGACACCCACTTTTTGTGCACTAAATGTTGTGAGCAAATTAGGGGGGATCATTAACTATCTATACAAGCATACGGGGTAGACATTATCGTCTTCAATCTGATTACCAACTATCCCAACGTTGGAGGTATTAAAGTCACCTTCACTCGTGGGGTCGAAATAGCGTCGGGGTGCGCCAACAATATATCGAAGAATATATTGTTAAACACCATTCATTTGCGGCGATATTAACAAATTTACCAGATTGATCTTCTTCAGGGGCCAGAATAAACAGAGTAGCATGGCACCATACCGGCAGGAGGAAATGAAATAGGCCTAGATCAACCGAGAGGGCCATGTCAAGGCACCGCCCGAAGAGAGTGCTCCTCCAATGACACGACCTTGAGCTACTGGGCGTGTAAGATACAAGAAGCCCGTGGGATATGAGCTTGTTGGATATATCCTAGAAGGATCCTACATTGAGCAAACTGGGTGTCTGGCGTTCACTGCAAAAACCCCATTCTCTATACATGAAACTTGAGATGACCCGGCCCCGATAACATCGCGCTGTCTTTCCAGAGGCGTTTTCACACTTTACAGGAGCCACGGGCATCCTATTTCGAGACTTACACCGGGGGTTGCAGTACCCTCATCGAGGATCGTCTCAGAGAAGCCCCTTTCCATACGTTCGTGCTCTTAGCTTGTACGTGGATGCTCTCTATCCCGGCTATACTATTCCTTGTGGCTCGTTACGGGCCATCATTCGAATCCGACACTGTCAGACCTCGTCTGGAATGCCAGACATGTGGAAGCACAGATGTTATCGAGGTTCCCAGTACGGAGACCTGAATACCGAGAGTGAAAGGTCTGAAATTTGGGGGGAAACGCCACATGGCACTAGGGCACGGCTGATCACCGGCTTGGCCAGGAACAGGAGCTCGTCTTCTGGTCAGCCTCATCGGACATAATTTGGTTTACTTTTCCCTTTAATGGATGTTTCTGTTGGTCGTTATATGCATGTTTAGTGTAGCTTATTTTGCGTTATTGAAGGCTAAGCGTATTCTAGAATTGATGTACCTGAATATGCCTGACTGCAGGGCAGTAGGCCTTTGAAAACAAAACAAGTTCAATAAAATAAAGTTCACTACAACTCAACTCAACACAGCATAGGATGTCACACATAATCAAAAACAACCCAGCACATACATTGAAAAGGTATCTCGAGTTTACATACAAATGCAAGCTGCAAGGCATAAAGCAAAGGCTCAAAGCGAAAGCCAAGCCAGAGGCAGAAGCACTACCAGATGCGCTAACAAAAAGCAACAGAAAAGAAACAGAAAATGTGTGAGATGAAACAGACGAAAAAGAAAGCAAAGCCAAAGCTAAATCCAAATCCTATAACAAAGCAAAGACCTCCCCCATATGTACCGGAGATCCATATTTCACTGGCCTAGGCCAGACACCGAATGTACCTTTTAAACAGACAGACAGAAAGAAGGGGAAAAAAGGAAAAAAAAAAAAAACCCACCAGGGAAATTCCAGAGTAAACGGCTTTCCTCGCTAGGTGACGACGGAACCGGCAATAGATCCCGAGTTGGTCACTGAGTGAATGCTACCCGGGGGTGCATGGCTATCGCCATTTGTGCCATTGGCTTCACCTACGGGAGTTGGGTTGTCGTCAAGGCCTAATAGAGAACGGGGCGGGTGAATTTCTTTCTTGCCGTTTGCTTTGTAGTAGAGGATCATGTCTCCTGAGGTGCGCCACAAGCATGTGCGGATTGTTGCAAGGGTCATGTTCGGTGGACAGAGCTAGGATATTGTCAGTATATAGAATGACAGTCTGAAGAGCAGAAAAACTTACAGTCTTTTGGCAGTATAGCTCGAGATACTCCTCCGGGGGCATCATAGACTCCTCGGGGTCATCCGGGTTTGCAGGGTCGATGCGCTCTGCAACGTAAGCAAGAACCTTCTTGGCCCGGAGCATGCGGTTGGCATTCAATCGGGAACCGCTGGTGTTAGGGTTCAAGTTGCTTGGGGGTGGTGCACCATTCATGGTCGGTCTGCAAGGAGCGGTGTCAGTTCCGTTAGGTAAAGTTGGTGGAGAGTAAAGACGGCCCAAGACATACGGTTCCGGTTTGACGACTGCTGGCAGGGAATCATCAAAGGGTTTCAACACGAATGCAATCTTGACTTGTTCCTTGAAGGGAATTTGATTCTGTGGTGTATCATTAGCAAAGCACTATACGAACACCTGGGGTGCAAACTTACCTTGAGAAGAAGCTCGCCAAGCCAATGGGGAATTGACTTCTTGAGTCTCTCAAGATCCTCGCCAATCCGATCCACGCTGCCTCGATAGAGGTCTGAAGCAACTGCAGTATCACCTGTTTCCTCCTGAATGAAAACCGCAACCCGAGAAGGAATTTCCAACCGGGGTGTTTCACTCTCGGGACTAGGTGTAATAGCCGTCTCCAGGTCAAGGTTGGAATTTGTAGACAGGTATTCCTCATAGTCATGACGGATCCGATCAATCACACCACAGAGATTGGGCTCATACACCTTCTCCTCCTTGACAGAAGAGATCTCAGATTCTTCGGCCTTCTCTTCGAGGATTTGAGGCTTCGTATCAGTAGAAGTGCGAGTCAACTTCTTGGGGAAGTCCATTCGGAATTTCTTTGAAAATAGAGATCCGCCCTTCTTGCGCTCCTCCTTGTCAGGCTCTGCGGGAGACTGAGGAACACCCGGATTGGAGACCCCTTCCGAGGGTAAGGGTGACATAATAGATGTTTCTGTGGTTTGCAGCGTTGGTCTATTTGAGAAGTAATCACTCCGATCAGAGAAGGAGGATGGTCCGCCATCAATGTGCGACTGTGTAGGTCCCGAAGGATCGGGCGTATCTGGCTCAAACATAGGGAACGGAGAGTTGCTCTGCATGGAGGTGCTCAAGTAATTTGACGAGGGTGTGCCAACATTGATTCCGAAACCGGTGCTGGGGCTGGCAGGGAAGTCCGCACTAGGACGCAAGGTCCATGTGGAATGGGGATTCGAAATAGGGATTCCAATGCTGCCTGGGACGTCATCCGCCGGCACGGATGTACTTACGGCGTTCAGTCGAGCATTTTCTTCTGCCTTGGCTATAGCAGCTTGACGGTACTCGTTGTCTCTGCGAGTTTCCTCATCCACTACCGGAGCAAAGAGCCATCGCAAAATCCATTTGCCAAGATTAACTGCGATTGGTGAGTAAGCACAAGACATGATGGCTGACAATAGGAGAACTCAACACATGGAGAATAATACTTACTTCGCTGATCCTCTCTAAACTCAGCCATGTCAGATGGCGTCAAATCGGCGCAGTCGGCATAGACTTCTGCATCGAAACAACGATTGGGCTCTAGAATAACCGACAATCGACCAGTGCGTACATCAATTGTACACCAATGTGCAATACTCTCAGTGGTGTTGACTTCTGATGCAACATCATCGATATGACGCTTGCCAAATGTCTTGACCGGAACACACTATATTTGATGTCAGTTGGCGTTAAATATTATTGAAAAGCCTTGGATTTACCTTCAGCAGATCCCAAAGCACAACTTCTCCTGCAGAGTCCTGAGTGAGTGTGTGCATGCGGTCATTCAACATGAGACACTTGATTAAGCCATGCTGGCCCTCGATTGTTTCCTCGGGTAACGAATGAACCGGGATTGTTAAACCGATTGCTTCCAAATTGGGTTCTGGGGTGCTCCCATTAGGGGTAGAGCTACCAAGAAGAGTTGAAGTAGCCGAGAGTTGAAGAGCAGCATTGAATGGAATCTTCTTGGGTCCCTTTTCGGTCGATTTGGCAGGCGCTGCGGTGGACTCTATGGTAGGTGCAGGATCAGGCGGCGGCTCAATATCAAGTGTGGTATCGACATCTCTCCAGCGATTGATGCTCGATTTGGGAGTGGCGGTCCAGATGTAGTCGCCTGCTGCGACGACCTTGACAACACCCTCGTGTTCTTGTAGTGCGGCGACGCAAGTGCCTTGCTCGGGATCGGGGGAGCCTCGAGTATCTGTCTTCGCAACTAAGCCGGATCGATCGCTGGAATAGAACACTGACAGATCGGGGTGGTCTGAGTAGAGAGACCACACGCTATCGTTGTGCATGGTCAGGGTGTTCATGCATCGTCCTGCTGTAAGAGACCAAATCTTGATGGTTTGGTCTGACGAAGCAGTCATGATCGTATCACCCGATTGATTAACCATGATATCACGGATGTTATCCGTATGTCCAACGAACTTGGTCACCAGTTTCCCAGACCTGGGGTCCCATACTCGGACGACATTCTCCGGACCACCGCTAGCAAGGACCGACGAAACAGCACCGAGAGCATAGACAGAGCCTTTCTCGGTAGCATCTTCGCCGCCGGCATCAATATTCAATATCTCTCCACAGCCATTCAAATCCCATAGATAGAGTTTATGATCCAGACCACCGGACGCAACCCAGGTAGCATGGCCACCCGGACTTGCCAAGGCCTTGACATAATCCGTATGTTTTCCAATGCGCTCCGGGACATCAGTGGACTCGGAATGCGGGCGCCAGAGTCGCACGGTAGTGTCGGACGAAGCGGAGACAAGCGCAGAGTTATCCTGTGCCAAGACGATATCGTTGATCCAGTGGCTGTGAGCCTGCACCTGCGTCTTGAAGCCAGTTGGGCTGGGCTTCTGGCTCGAGGCCGATAGTTCTGTTGGGGCGAATGAGGAAGGTAGGGGGAAGTCGAGATCCCACGAACAGATGACGCCGTCGCGGCCCGCGGAGTACCTGGAGAGGGGACGTCATATTAGAATCCGTGCAACCCACGTGCTGGAGGAGCCTTATTTCCCGGCAGACTGCAGTCGCCGGCAGGACAGCTTGGAGCTAGATCCTGGATCCCAGTAGGATGAGGGAAGGAGGACTTACAGGATGGAGTTCTGACGGTCAACGGTCAGGCCATTGACCCCCAGCCGATGCCCGCCTGGGGCATCTGGCAGAGGAAGTACTAGCAGGATTAAGGTCAGTATTTCATCAAGCAAAAATGTTGCGATCTGGTTTACCATAGGTGACCCTCTGGTGGCTTAGTTTTCGTGCCATACATGCAGCGTTGCAGGAGTGAAGCCAATTGCGGAGATGGAAATGCGGAGCTTATCTGCCGTCGAGGCCGATCGTTCTGTTTGGCGGGGAGACGTCGACGTCACATTCAACGCAACGTAAAGAGAAAAGCAAAGAAGCAAAGAAAGGCCAAGCCTATGGAATACCAGAGACCAAGAACTAAGACGGGGGAAAATGAGGGGAAATTTAACCAGAGTTGGAGGCGCCAGGGGGCAGCCTATCAGGCAATTTCAACGGGTGACAGATACTCTTGATACTCTTGGTTCTATGTCATCTTTTATATTGATTCTATTTACGCGATACTGTCATGTCTATAAACTGATATGCGGCTTACTCTCCATACCCTTACTTTGAACTTCCCCAGGCCTTCACTATATCCCCCATAACCGTTTGCCTAAACAAACAACTCTAAAACAACACCATCAACATCCCTTTCAGATAATCCCATCTGACCCTCAAAGCTCCTAGGAAAGCTACGCATCTAAACATAAAGTCTCTCTCACACACGGCTATCTACGGTAATAGACTGAGACCCGCACTAGGCCCCAAGCCACACGCATAAGCATAAGCACGAAGTAAACGCAGGCACCTACCCAATGATTTGACTCGCCAAGTCTTGTCTCATCCTTCGATTAGTGAGACAGTTATTTGCTATGATGTGTGGTTGAGAGGTTGACGCACGCTTGTTGTTCTTGGCTATAATAGCGCAGATCCGTTCTTGTATAGACGAGATGGAGGATCTCCCAATTGCCGAGTAGATGAGAGGGTATAATGACAAGCACATAAATCGGTGCCAACCCAAAGATCATGGTCGAATGTAGACATCAACTAGCCGAGATGCAACAGATACGATCTATCTATATCTTCTCCCAACCTTATACAAGAAATATAATAGCTTATACAATCCACCCCAACAACTCTAATCAACGTCAAATCCCCGCCTCTCTCTTATATTCCCTCCTCCCCTCAAGCGTATTCCAAGCATACTGATAACTGCCCAAGAAAACAGCACCACCAATACCAATCCAAGTAACACGCGGCGTAATACCCCTCCAGAAAGCCCCAGGCCCCTCACGGGCAATACCCCGGACAATCTCCTTAACCCTAACCGGCGCACCAGCGCCATCTCCCCTGCGCGCAAGCATAACCCGCGTCTTAATTACATCCAACGGAGTCGTCAAACCAGCCGCAATCGCTCCAGCCACACTACCAAACATAGCACTCGTCGAAGCCGGAATCTGCGTTTCAGTCACGGAAGACACAGTACCGGCGGGACGCAGATAGCGCTTTGCATAGGCTTCCTTCATCGATTCCCACATTGTGAATTGGAGCACTGTGAAGGGAATTTCGCGCGCGATGGTTATACCCGCGCCGCGGTAGAGTTCGCGTACGACTTGGCCGTAGCCGCGCTTTGTGGCGGACGCTGGGGCGGCATGGCGGAGGGAGAGGATATCCTTTAGGGCGGCAAGACTTGATCCGCCGAAGAGGCCGGCTTGGGCGCGCTGTTTGATTACTTCTGTGGGTACGCGGACGGCGCAGGCGGCTATCTCGCCCAGGGAGGAGGCGAGGGAGTGTGTGAGGATTATGTGTGTTCTCGATTGGGGTTGGGTTGAGCCTCCGGGTGGGAGGAGGGTGCGCTTGACGCCATCGTAGACGATGAAGAAGGAGGCTGCTGAGGGGGCGGACCCGAAGAGGACGGAGGGGGAGACCTGCGTAGATGCCGCGGATGGTTTGGTGGAGAGAGAGGCGGGCTGCTGCTGGTGCGAGGGGGTCGCGTGCTTTTTGGAGGCGGGTTTTGATTGTATCCAGTGGGTAGAGGGAGCAGTCAACTGTTAGTCCCGCGATTGCTCCGGACTTTATTTTTGCTGGGTTAGTGGTGTTCGATTTTGGATATTGGGGGTGTTGGGAGATTGCGTACGATTAGGGATCTCGTCCAGAGGGAGGAAACGAATGGCTCCCCGTCAGGTTGCTGGGCCATTGTGGAGAGAGAAAGGAGAGGAAGAGAGGGGGAGAGGGGAAGAGCAGACAGATTGCGAAGATATCTATTTGGACATGACAAAACTGAAGGCAATGCGGAGTAGCTGGGAGCTCCGGCAGTTTAGTTTTGCTCCGCGGTCAGGCCATTCCGATATCGCCGAACTTCGCTACGTCAGTCTACGGAAAACGTTGGAAAAGAATATATATTCGAATTTAAGTGTATCTACACTCTCGGGAAATAAGAAAAAAGGTCATCCCCAGCAAGAGCCAAAAAAGGAGTGGTCCCAAAAATCCCGCCGGCGTGTCCAAGTCAAGCAGACATCTGTTCAGCAGAGCCCAGTTGATTAAAGAAAAAACAGGGACTGCGATAGATTGCCACAAAGAATGCATTTCAGGAATATTGACTCAGAAAAGAAGCATGGGGAGTGAGAGAAAAAGCGACTATCATCTACAGTATTCAAGAGGGAATCAGAACGAGGGGATGGAAACAAAGAAAAAACCATCCCAGATTCAAAGGGTCGGAAATTATGGGCACAGAATTCATACAGAGCAAGGGGTATTATTTGGCCTTGGTGCTTTTGCTGGCCACGGCGGGACTCTGCGACGGGGGCTCCAAGACATGGGTGTGGCCGGGGTCGTTGATGATCTCGCCAGAGCATTCCTGCCGACAGGCATGGATGTCTCTGACCCAGTCATCACTCATGACCTCGTCCAGTGTGGCTCGCTGGTTAGGGTTGGTCTTCAGCATGCGACCAATAATGTACCTGCTTTCCCGCGGCAAGATGCGAAGAAGGCGCCACGGTCCCTTGATGACTTCCTGGCGCTGACCAGAGGACTGGGAGGGTGGTTGAACGGGCGGTGCCTCTTTGCTCGTCGTGCGGGTAGGCCGATCATGGGCAGTAGTGCTAGTCTGACTGGTTTGCTTTTGAGCAGTATCAGGCGAGCGATCACCATCCCCGTGTCCGGTACCGTTTCTGTTTTCTTCCGGTGTAGACTGGTCCTTGGTTTTGGCGGGTTCAGAGGAACCGCTCGAGCGATCAGCCTGACGTTTCTCCTGGCCTTGGCATGGTAGATCGGGGGTCGACTTGAACCGACGGTTTGGATTCGACTCGGGAACCGGTGTGCCTGGAGTGGGACTGGAAACAAACAACTTGTAGGAGTTGTCCGTGGTGCGTGGTTGCTTCCATGGAAAGCGCCGTAGGGTCATGCAGCAGAAGATGATCGCCAGCGACCAAACATCCGTTGGACGGGGGTCATATTTCTTTTCGTCGTACACCTCGGGGGCAAGATATGGGTCCGAGCCGACAATTCCTAGTTTGGGAGTCAGAAACGATCAATTGGTGGCAGAGCAAGATTGTATACATACCTGAAGCGGGAACGATGTCGTTCTCGAAGGGATAACGGAAGACAACGGCACTTCCAAAGTCAATGAGCTTCATGATGCCTCGATCATTGACCACCACGTTATCCAGCTTCAGGTCCCGATGAGCGAGACCCATGCCGTGCAAATAAGCCACGCCGCTCAAAATCTGTTTGAAAGAGCAAGCAATCTCCTCTTTGCCCATCTTTCCCGTCATGACGATGGCAAAGAGATCAAATGGAGCATATTCCATCACCTCATACCAGTGATTCCCTTCCTGGATGATATCCAGTGTCTCGATGATATTGCCGTGATGCAGAGTAGAACCAATACAGAACTCCGCGGTAACCTTCTTGGAATACTCCTTCAAGCTCTCCCAGTTGTGACGATCTCGGAATTGCTTCACGGCGAAGGTGACACCGTCACTGTTCCGCTTTAAGAGACGCACCGAGCCGCCAGCTCCAGACCCGAGCACCCTGCCCATTTTGCCATACTTGGAGTTCAATCCGTGATCATCGGCAAATGGAACATTGTCAGGGGCCATTTGGTATGGGGTGTTCTTTCCAGACCCTCGGCTCGACTTTTTCGGCATTGATGTTGGAGATTCAGCCCGCTTGTGGCGGTGACCCATTTTGAAGAATCGCTTCAATTCAGACATGGAGCCATGATGATGATGACTCTGGTGCTTGTCATTGCCTTGGTCCTTCTTGCCACCAAATATACTCCGCTTGTCACTGGGCTTGCTGAGGTCACTGGCGCTGGCTGATCGGGGGTTTCCCGGGCGGAATGACCGCTTCGCGTCCCGACTGCTAAAGATGAACCTAGGATCCAGCTGAGCGAGATTTTTCGACTGAGGTGGGCGCTTGTTGCGTGCGTAAGGGTCATTGGGTTCGCCTACTGGGGTCATAGCCCCGGGTGGAGTCAGAGACTCTCTTGGAGTCGCAGGTGGGCTTTCTTCTTGCGAACTAGTATCGTTTCCGATGAAGAACTGTGCACGGTGCTTGGGGAGTTGCACGACGTGAGAGCTTCGATCAGAGGCCTCACTGTGTCTGTTGGGCAACTGATCGGTGGATGAGGGTCGGGAGGTTGAGGATCGGGGAATGTCGTGCTTATCGGCTGAAGTAACTGGGGGTGAGGCATCTGGGGTGAACTCAGTTTGGACATGAGGCCGGCTGTGAGCTTTTAGGGAGGAACCCTCCGCTCTGCCTTCACGTGAACGAGTTGCAGCTGGCGTAAGAGGAGGGGACTGTACGGCGGAAACGGGGGGAGATGCATGAGGAGAGGCAAAAGAGCTAGTTCCATGCCCACTCCGATCACTCGACTCGCGAGAGGCGACCTATTGTAGAGCCCCCGGTTAGCATGACAGCTACTCGACAGTGCAAGGGACGGCCCCGAGAACAGTTTAGTGGCTGTTCGTCTCTCTTGAGGCACGGGGCAATTGAAGCAACCCGGAGACAATTCCACGGTAGATTAAAATTATGAGGTACGTACCCTGGAGGAAGGAAGAGACATGGGGTCGAAAGAGAAGTTCCGTAGACGGGCCTCCTGAAGCTGTGAGCTCTGCAGATGCGAGCTCTGCAAACTCATAGCCAGCGACCGTAACGCCTCTTCGTCTGATTGCTGCTTCAGTGGCTGCGAGTGTTGAGGTTCTGGTTCCGGAGAGAGTGCCTGCGATGGTTCAATCTCCTCCGTGATGGACGAGAAACGGACCTGGCTGGGCTGGACTTTGGACTTGGCATCGGCGTCACCGGGCTCCGGGGCCTGCCCGGACATCTTGGCGGGACTTTGAGTGGGTTGGAATTCTGTCGACAGAGGAATGCGTCAGATGGGAATTTGCAAGGTACGGTATCGCCATCGATCAACGAGCCAAGACATACCTGAGTTAGAGTTGGAAGTCATCTCAGACGTCATAGTCTGCACCAACTCAGAATGCGGGACACATGCCCCTCACAGTGAAAGCCTGGTAAGAATCAGGATCGCGAACCGAATGCCGAGAGTCGCAAAGCAAAGAATTGACGATTGAAGCCGAAGTGAGCAACGGGCAGATCGATTACGTGGGAGGCGAGGCAAATCTCTTCCCGTGAACTTTTCGCCAATCCGATAAGAGCCGCGCCGCACTCGATAGGAGAGAGGAAGAGAAAGGAGAATATGGAGAGGCAGTAGAGAAGCAAAGAAGCAGAGCAGAGAGTAGAGAGCAGAGAATAATAGAGAAGCAGAAGCAAACAAGTCAAGGAAGAGGGGAGGACGGGGAGTGGGGGTTGCCCAGGTGCCCTCCAAGTCCGGTAATTGTCAGCCTTGTGTTTTGTTACTTCTACTCTTCTTACTCTTCTACTCTTCTGCTCCTCTTGTTTTGCTTTCATTCGTTTCATTTACCTTTCGTGCTTGCTGTTTACTCTCAACACATCTCTTTGTTCTATCCCGGACCTCGTTCCCTATTCCCCGGAACAGCGCGGAGCCTTGCAGGATTCGATGATGTCGACAGTACCGTCCGCATACACGTGCCGACTTCCCGGAGACTCCGCGAACAGGGATCGATGAGCTGCAAGCCATCGCTTGTTGCGGCTTCTGTGCATTCCGATCTGGAATTTTGCCTGAACAGGCTAGTTTATTTTCATGTTGCCCGTTTACTTTACGGTCCAGATCTGGGGATCTCTAAATACCTGCCAAGCGACATGATCTGCGAGTTGCGTACTGAATCCTTGGCCTTCATTCTCGCCAAGCCCTTGACTGTGTTACCAGGCCAAGAACTCCGCTCTTCCAGAGAGCATGTCCCCTGCTGAGTGATCAGCTCTTGAGGTTGTGTGATGCGTAGGTCACACAGCGTCTCGGGGGTGTTAATAGAGAACCTAACTGAGCCAACTGGGAAAGAATTCTGACATCCTGTGATCAGCACATATAGCCCCTTGAGCATATTTTATCCAGACATGTCGGTGTTTAGCCGGTCGCTTCGTCTTACATATACAGCTGACCTTCAGTCTGACTCTTAGCGCGTCACATCCCCCAAGATACCGTAGACAATAAATGTGGTTGTATTGTAGCTGCCTTATGGCATGCAAAATGCCCCTCGGGTTGCTACCAATCGCTATGACATGCAACCTGAAAAAAATCGGTATCGTACAGCAGGTGGGTACATTTGCCCCCTGTCCCAGTAAAAAACGCCCGGCAAAAGATATCAAAATCACAACAAGTAGGCCCTGAAAGCGCTACCCCAGACGGCAATGGTCGCCGGTAATTATACAATCAAACCCATCCCTGCAATCGCTCATGGGACAACCTGGATGCCAATAGACTTGGCCTGAGACATGACACTCTTGCACAATCCCTCAAGCGACAAGCCTGATAACCGGGTCTCTGTCTGCTTGATCTTGGCAATTTCATAGACATGCTTGAGGGAGATCTTGCCACAGATCTCGTGGCCGGGGTTCATGGCGCCACGGACGCGATTCTTCCGGGGCTCGACATTGGCGGCGTTGAGCAGGAGGTAGGTGGTGGTCGGGGTGCGGAGGTCGAAGGCGAAGGATCGGTCGGGGCGGACTGTGACACGCGCGGGAATGGGGACACCGGTGTTGATGTGAGCAGTGCGGGCGTTGAATTCCTGCGATAGTCAGTATACAGGTCGAGCTTTGATAATGTTGGGAGTATCAACCTTGCAGAAGTCCATGGACTTGACACCCTTACTACCCAGGGCCGGACCGACAGGCGGACTGGGACTGGCCTGACCAGCTCCGACGATGAGCTTGACGAACTGCTCCTTGGCCAATGCGTTGCGAGCCATGATGTGGTTTTGTAGTGTCTGTTCAACTAAGAAAGATGAATCCGGATGAAGATTTTCTGGAAGGGGACGGCAGATCGTGATTGGCCGGGGCGGCAAGCGAGCTGAACCCAACGTCATGATGCTCTTCTGTTTTGAGCTTCATTTCTCTTCTTTGATTCTTCTATTCTAGTGAACTGTTGCTTTTGATATCTCTGTTGCTTGGTATCTGTGTTGTTTCACATCTACACTTGCTGCATCTTGATCTGGTGCCATCTCCAGGTTCCATCAAACTAGACTCTCGGGCCCCGCGTCGATCTCTCCTTCACCTCCCTTTTCCTTTTTCTTTCCTCTGATCTTCTATCAATCATCGAATCTTCATCATGAACTGGCTCAAGTCGACGTACGTTCCGTTCGACCCTTCTGTGCTGTGGTTACTGACCGGATCCATGCGGGCAGTCTCTCCGCCGTGGTGGGCACCGAGGAGCCTATCTATGGCCCCGAGGCCATCCAGTCTGTTGCGCAGCAGACTGAGACTACTCCTTATTCCGAGGTGAACAAGGGATCTTTTGCGCTGGCGCGCATATTCCTACACCAATGTCGAGACCCAGACCTTCTACATCATGGCAGACAACGGGACAGTGGTCTTCGTCCAGGTGATCTACAGCAACATTGTGTAAGGACCTTCTGAGCCAGTTCTTTATATTGTGGTGGTTTCCAAAGCATTACAAGGTTAGCGTTTGCAGCAGCTGACTGATATGATCGGAACTATAGCGGAATCCACACCACCGCTCAGTTCAACGTGAAGATTTTCGACCTCAGCGGAAAGGGCGACAACAAGTGGTTCTCCGACCCTCTCCACAACTTCATGTTTGACGAGCACATGCTCTCTTTCGGTGCCGACAACCTGTCCCTGACCCTCAACGAGGAGGGCAACGCCTACCACATCAAGTCCACTGTCAACGATGGCAGCATTGTGGATCTCAAGTTCACCCAATCCGCACCTGGTTTCGTCGTCGGCAAGGATGGTACTTCATACTTCGGAACTGACCCCAAGAACCCCTGGGGCTCCATGCGCCATGCCTTCTGGCCCCGCTGTACTGTCGAGGGTAACATCGCCACCAAGGATCAGACCTACGATCTGGCCGGTCGTGGTGTGTTCATCATGGCTCTGCAGGGCATGAAGCCTCATCACGCAGGTAAGAAGCCCGAAAACCGATCAACTCCGAGCTATCCGGAGCTTATCCGCTAACGAAAATCTAGCTGCCCGCTGGAACTTCATTAACTTCCAGACCCCCACCTATTCCGCCATCATGATGGAGTACACCACCCCTCCTTCTTATGGCTCCACCAAGGTCAACGTTGGCGGTATTGTCAAGGACGGTAAGATCATCTACGCCGGCACCACCAACGTCGTTACCCACACAGAGGTCGGTCAGGACGAGGGCAGTGATTGGCCCGCGCCCAAGGCGATCAAGTGGGAGTGGAGCGGCAAGACAACCGACGACAAGGAGTTCACAGCCGAAGTGGACGGCCCTCTCGGCCCCCGCCTTGACCGTATCGACGTTATGGCCGAGGTGCCAGGCTTTATCAAGAGCATTGCTGGCAGTGTTGCCGGTACCCGGCCTTACATCTTCCAGGTATGCACCCCGCGGTCTACTTGGTTACATTTATATCTAACATTCTACGCAGTACTCCCCCCAGGAGAAACTCTCATTGAAGCTGAAGCTCGGCGACGAGGAGATCACCGAGGAGGGAACCATGTTCTCGGAGTCGACCTTCATCTCGTAAAGGCCCGATCCAACTCGCGTACATAAGACATGATCTCCCTGTGAGGTCTTGTTGGCGTTCATTGTTGATGATTTCGTGATGCTACATTATGTCCCGGGATTCGGCTTAGCTGTTTCTCCTTTGTGCGGACCAGATAATCCACAGACTGTATACAGGATACCTAATGCTATTGACCATATTCTGAATAATCTTACTTGTAAGCCTGTATAGGCTAGACTCTCCAGCCTTACTATGACTCATAGAAGGGTAGTAGAGGTAGAAAAAGATTGGATGTAAAGTACAGATTGATCGTGTAGAAAGATGGACCTCCCAGTCTTCGCAAAGAGAGAAAATGTACAAAGAACGACAATGAAATACGAAGTACATGCGATTCAATTCGAATCAAATAAGAAACTAAATCGCCTCCAGCAGCTGTTGGCCTGCGAGCAGTACAATACAACAAACAAAAAGAACAAGAAAAGCACAGACAAAGCAAAAAAGAACGCAACCTCCCTAATTATCAACCATCAACTGCTCGCCTTCATCTAGAAGGGTAGTAACACGCGAAAGATCAGAAATCATCTTCCGCCCATGGCCAACAAGCAACAATTTCTCCGCATTAGCAGGAAGACCCAAGTAAGTAGGCGGTTCACGCTCCGGTAAGCCATTAACCCAGGCAATGAAGTCACGCATGCTAGTCGTACTCGGGAGAGTGAGCATATCATCGTTCTCAACGCCTGAAACGAGCTTGTACTCGTCCTCGAAGGCAGCAGGCGTGAGGAAGCTGGTGACCAGGTTCTCGAGTTGCTGGTAGTCACCTGCGTCGTCAATCTTGCCGCCGTACATCTCGGTTATAAGCGTGCGGATCATTTCCCAGGGGATCTTTTGTGGTGCTACGTTTGACCGGCCTTGCGCGACTGTGTCGACCCAGTGGTCGATTATGTAGGCGGAACATTCGTACTAGGAGTTTGTGTTAGTATACGGGGTTGATAGATATCTGGGTGGATTGTTGTGTGTTTGGGGTGGTGCTTACGTCGCTGTCGTTGAACTCCCAGAAGCCCTTCCAGCCGAGGCTGGGAGCGTAGCGGAGTCTCTCTTGGACTACGGCGTGCAGGAAACAGAGGAGGAGGTAGACGCGAGCCTTTTCGACGGGTGCCTTGCTGGCTCTCACGTTGAGAGTGGAGAGTGAATCCTTCATGTTGGCGCGGACTCCGGCGGGCTGTTCGTACATAAGCACGCGCGAGGCACGGATCAAGTTGACTGGAATCTTAGGGCTGGACTCCATGGACAGGAATAGGCGGAATTCCTTGTGGGGCTTGAGGGAGTCGAGTCTCTTTTCGAGACTCTGCAGCCAAGAAGGCGCCAGATGGACGTTCTTAACTAGGACCCAATTACCGCCGGCGGCTGCGTTGCTGATGGCCTTGTCGGCGCTTTCGAGACCCTCGTTGGAGCCCATGGCAATGTTGGCGCATGTGGCGTGGGTGCGCTCGACTAGGGCGTCGACCTTGTAACTGGCGTCGAAGCCGGGGCTGGAGCTGAGGGCAATTGGTCTGGTTGCGGTGACTTGGTCGACTACATCCTTGAGGTCGCTGCTGCCTTCGAAGAGCTCACGGCCGAATACGGCTTCAATGAAACGCTCGGCTGTTGGGACGAATCTGTCCATGCGGCAAAGTTTGACAAGGAGCAGGGAGCGGAGGAGCTGGTCGAGTTGCGCGGTGTTCTCATCCCACATGACTGGGACGGCATTCTCGGCAAGTTCCTCGGTGAAGAAGCGGTCCCATTGCTCTTGGGTGACATTGGCAAGCTGCTCTTTGAAGAGAGACATGTTGGACAACTTGGCAAGCACATGGTGGCGGGCATCGACGGAGGTTGAAAGATCCACGCCTTCGACTGACTCGTCCAGAACACGGTCGAGAATGGTCCTGTCCATAGGGAATGGAGTAGCTTGAGCAAGCAGGATGGCGAGAGTGATCCGATCCTTCTGAACGAGACCCAGCGAGGTTCGCTGGTAAGCCATGATGAACAGGTCCTTGATGATGATCTGAACGCGGGCAGAATGATCCTTCTCCTGTGCAAGTCGCTTGTTCTGGTAGAGAACAGAGTTGAAAATGTCCACAAAGTATTGCAGAGAGAATTGGTAGAAGTGGTTGATGTGGTGAAGCTGCTCCAGAACGGCAAAGACAGCACTGCATGAGCGAGCAATGATGCTGTACTTCTGCGTGACACTGTCTACCTCAGACATGACACCTTCGGTCTCGGTCATCTTCTTGGAGATATCGGCAGCCTCCTTCTTGAGAGTCTCGAGAGTCTCGATGACATTGTCGTCATCAAGAATGTTTCCACGAGACTCGTTGAGAGCTTGCAAGAGGCGCTTCTCAAGTTGTCGAAGATGGACCTTGAACTCTCCTTGCATCTTGACAAGGTTGTTACGTCGTTCATCGACATCAGGTCGCTCGAATTTCAGAACATCATTCAGTGATTGTGTCTGCAAGCTGCTCTGGGTGACTGTAAAGTTGACAAATGTGGTACGACTGCAGATATCAGGCGGGAACGAGGCCGAAGGATCCCGGGTCGAAAGGAACAGCTTGAAGGAAGGCGAGAAATCAATTTCCTGTCTGCCCAACTGAATCAAAACACGACCGCCGGTCTTTTGGTATTCCTTGTTGAGAACGTGGTTGAGAATCGGGTCCAGGTGCTCGGCATCCTGGATGAGAATGGGGTTTCCGAAACGCAAGGCGCTCTCCAGTTGCTTGACAAAGGAATCGTCCAAGAAACTCGTGACAGTAAGCTTGCGGTCTTTGCTCTCCTTTTGCAGGAATTCTGTGATGCGGCCCGATGGGTCAACAATCAGAGGATATCTGTTGAACTTCTTCAGGATGATAGCATTCTCCGTGCAGAGGTCATCAACAGGGAGAGAGTGGTCTTGCCAAGTCAGGCGCTCATCTGCGTTGGACAGATATTCCGTGATAGGGTTGTGAGGCTTGAAGGCAATGCCAGAGGCCGCCAGTTGGTGAACCCAGTCGTCAATCATTGCCCGACGGAACTGCTGATCATAGAGACCAGCGTACGCAAGGAACGCAGCAGCAATGAGGACATCGCCAACAAGAGTGTTGATTTGAGTTTCGAATGACTTGCTGCCATCCTCCCAACGCTCACGCTCGGAGGCCAAACTGTCCAACAGACGAACACTGCGGTCGACCTTGAACTGGACCCGGGACATCTCGGTCTTGATCGCCTGAGTCTCACTAATGAGAGCTGCATACTCGGCCTTGTAGGTGGCAATGCTGGATTCGAGGCTGTTGATGGTGTTGACGATAGCCTGGGCTTCGGCCTTGGTTTGCAGAGCCTGGTCCTCGAGCTGATCGACCTCTGCACGAAGAGGACCAACGCGATCAAGGATTTCAGAGTAGGCGACTTGGGCTGTGACCCATTGAACCAGGGGACCACAAGCCTTACTGGCGCGGTTGACTCGCTCATACGTGAAGTCTTCCTTGGAGAAGAACTCATTTTGCATCTTGATGCGAAGGTTGCGCGTCATTGAAACCTTACTATCGTAGTTCACGATGCTGGCAATGAAATCATCACGGCGAACGATACCTTGTATGGCTTTCCAGCTGTCGACTCTGTGTCCAAGGAGAACACAAACGGCTTCCAGGGAAAGTCGGACACCACCCGGAGGTGAAGCCATACCTCGAACTTCAGTGAGCTGTTGACGTTTGATGTTGCTGACACTCTGCTGGGCTTCCAAGACAGCGGGTTCAGCCTGAGCCAAGTCATTCAAGACGACTTCCTTCCGGGTTGCTACTTCCTTTTCTTGTATCTCTAGTGCTTCCTGCACCTCCAATGAGGCCTGCTTCCGCTGTTCTGCTTCCTGTTGATCAGCGACCATACGCTGCAGTTTCTCGTTCGCTTCTGTGTCCTTCTTCTCCAATTGTGTCTTCTTCTCGGCCAGACTGACCCGAAGGTCGCTGACCTTGTCGACAGTGTCACGAAGCTTCTCAAGACCAACGTTCAGATGGCGCTGTTGCTCCTCTAGGTCTTCACGCTTCTCGTTGAACAGGTTCACGTACTGTGCAACGAAATCGAGGTAATGGCGAGGAGTGAGGAAAGTTGCCCGACCTTGCTGCTTCTGTAGACGTCCATTAAACCTGTGCAAGGAGTGGTGGATATACACCATAGAGTTGATGACAGCATCTCTGTGTGTGGCCGGGAGTGACAATTCTCTGTATGCCACAGGGATGCTGTCGAGCGCGACAAAGTTGGGCTTGTCCAGATCAACCGACTGTGTGAGCTCGGAGCCGACCTGGAACAAGGCTTGATCAGACCAGTCTCCCATCCAGTTTAGCACGCAACGGTTGAACAAGGCGGGACTAGTGGCGGCCTTCGAAGACAGACCCTCCTCCGGTGGGTTCATGGTGAACACAACATGCAAGTTCTTGACAATTTGCTGAGTGAACCATTTGTATAGCTCCTCCTGCGAGTCGAGCAGCAGACCTTGGCGCTGGGCGCCTTCTTTACAGGCGGTCATCAGGGAAGAGAATTCATCACCTTCAAACAGACCGGGTACCTCGGCGTTGGCAAGCAGGGTGTTCATGCGTTCAAGGAAACCAGAGTCGAGAACGTTTGATTCGTCCATGATGAAACAAATCTTCTCGCCCTTGCATCCTGCCCGGCGAAGGACACTTCTTAAATCATCATCAAAGTCCTCGGAAGAGTATTTTCCGTGGACCTTGATTTGGAACACCTTCAGGCCATTCATCCAGGCGACGAAGCGAGACAGTGTCGTCTTTCCACTGCCGCTCACACCGATCAAGATCAAATGGCCCTGTGGTTGGCGGAAAACTCGGTCGATACGGAGCGCATGTTCAAGCACATCGTTGAACAGCACAAGCGGAACATCCACCTCTTCCTCACAGAAAGTCTTCAGACGTGCCTTGACAAAGTCACGCAGTTTCTCCTGTTCGACTGGCACGTAGTTCTTGGACAGCCAGTTGGAGAACAGGATGGGGCCCTTGAGTGCTTCTTTATCATCAATCGTAGGGAAGTGCTCTAAGGCGATGCGACGAACAGCATCTGCCGTCCAAGCTCTCTCATCCTCGGCCACCAGTCTGTCCTGGAATAGACGCAAAGCTTCGTGCGCCCAGATACGGACCAGACCCTCAATAGACAAGCTCTCCAACGGTTTGATTGCCTCATAAATACCACGAACCCATCGGGTAAGCTCACGGGGCG